GTGTGGCGCTAGCTATCTTCAAGCCGGGGCCCGAACGCGAGAATGGGCACTAACGTGCGGTACTTCGGTTGAGAATTTTATCCCAGACGGAGTTCAAGCTGCGGCTTCCACGGGTGTTCTCGCCGCCTAACCAGGCATATTGCGTGTGATCGCGTTTTCTTGCCGTTAAAAAAAGCAAGAAAGATTTGGTGAACTTTGTCCAAGAGTTGAGAACTCTCATTGCCGGGATGGCGGCCGTTCCTCTCCACAGTGACCGGCTTTATACAGGGCCTCCCACTGTCGTAAAATGTAAGTCTTCTGCGTGTATCCGCCTTATTTTGAAGACATGGTGAATCTGGCATTAAATGCCATATTTAACTTATTTTGGCATCACTTGGTTGGAAACGCACACCATCAAAACTCGTTGAGCGGGCCTGAGTCAATGATTCTGATATGCTGAGAAGGAGGAGGCAGAGCTCCGAGCTGACGGGCAGCGTTAAAACATCCGACGGTGTTTTGTCTGTGGAGACACCCGTAACCTTCAGACTGGTTGTCCCCTGCGTAATGCGCGTCAAGGCCCATCGAACGGACGTCCCGCTTCTCACCAGTCTGGTTTGTCGCGGGGGAAAGCGCGAGGTACCTCACTGGAGAAGAACTATGTTCTGTTGAGCCTCAAAGATGTAGAGGCATTAGAGTCTAGCCCCGAAGAGCTTCGTACGAAGCGCCGGGCTAGCTGGTCGTAAAAAGCGACCGTGAAGGGCTTTGCGAAGCTATGAAAAATCCTGATGGACTCCGGGGCGTCTAGAAATTTTGCTCGACGCTACACTATTGAAAGAAGTCAGCTGTATGCTGAGGCGCTGGAAACGCGGTTGAGTGACATCGTCGTTGTTCGCTTAGCAACGAAGACTTGTGTCACTGTGTCGAGGGTCCCTGTGGACCTCTGTGTCAAGTTTCTTAACTTGCGTGAAACGCTGCTCAGTCTTAAACTTGGAATCAAAATATGACATTATCCTTGTATGGCATAGTTGGAACACCATGGGCCATGGATTAATTGAAGGTGGAGGACCTTGGGCGCTACGCGCACGTCTCCTGGTGAAGATTTGTTAAGTCATGAACCCACCCTGGCTAGGAAGCAGAAGCATTTTTGGCGCGGGCACTGGACCGGAACGGTCAATGTACTGGATATCGGAGTATTCGAGTTGTCGAACCTCGATGGTGTATCGAACAAGAGCCCCGAGCATGGCTCGTGGACTGAATGTGGAGTGGTATGTCCCCACTACTGAGCACTACTCACGTTTCGTAGCAGTCGCGCATGCCAAGAGTGGCATGATCGTACGAGGCCTGAGGCATCTTAAGCAGGGCTTTTTTTAGGCACGTTATCTACAGGACAAAGACTGCGGACATAGTAGCTCTTCGTCGGATGTTGTTACTAACCGATGGAATAGGGAGTGGAGACACTAGACGACGCTGAGTGCGTGATCCAACTGCACTCGACGAGAGGTAAACTCTCTATAGAGAGAAGACAGCGATGCCGTATGTTATGTGCAAGACGCAGGGCGTCGACCTTGACCTAAGGTGTGTCTATCGTAGACGATAGCGCACAGCTGTACACCCTCGTGAGCGGTATGACGGGAAAGGAAGACGGCGACGTGACCCTGGAGCCTATTCCTGCGGTGGATAATCGTCCTGAGCTGGACAAGATGCCCTTCAAAGAGTTTGGCGGTGCTTTGAACGCAGGCAATTTAGCCGAGGTGGTTATTATAAGACCGAACGGGGAGATTAACTCGTCGTTGCTTCCGGATGAAGCTTTCCTGGAGGACACATAGAAAATGCTGAACGCAAAAAGAGGATCAACGAACCCGAAGGCTTCCTGGGATCCGTACTATCCTTTGGTCAAGGAATTACAGTGGGGGGGTGCCGTCTCCAAAGGCTCGCCGTCGGTCCTACAGCCGGACCGAGTTGTGCCTCATCAGATCGACTTGGTTCCGAAAACTTAATAATGCGTGCCTCGCCAACGGCCCCCCAACGAGCAGTGTGGCGTCATTGACGCATTTTTCCGTGCGAAGCATGAGGCAGGAATGGTACGTGAGAGCAAGTCTTCCCATTCGATACCCATTTTTTGTGTTCGGGAGCCGAACGGCAACTAGCGTATCGCTCACACTTACAATATGCTCAACGCTTCCACCATTTCGGCACAGACGCTGATTCCTAGGAAGGATGTTCTACAGAACAGTATGGTTGGCTGGACAAAGTACAGTGCACTCGACTTGATCGATGGGTATTATCAATAGCTCATGAGATCGAGTTATATTCTCCGCTGAAAGCGGTGAGTCATCCGCGCGGCATGCTCTGGGGTGGTTGGTGATGCTCCCAAAGGCTGTCAAATGCACCAGCAACATTTAATCTTTTGACGCAGTTGTTCAGACTTATGCGCAAACATACTTCGACAACATCTTCGTCTACGGTCGTGCAGGGCACGGGGGGGACAGATGAAAAAAACCACATCGCTGATTTGAGAGCGGTGCTCGAGTGCATGCGCACGAATAAGCTGTATGCTCATGCAGATAAGCGCATCTTTGGCGCTGAAGAAAATCCTTTTTAGAGTGCTTCATTGGGCAGCGTAGCCTTCAAGTGGATACCGCTAAAATCAAGGCCTTTGTGGACTGGCCGGTTACAAAATCAAAAGGACTTGCGCAAAGTGGTTTGGTCTTACTAGCTACATGCACAAGTATAGCCACGAATTATGCGGAAATGGCACGACCATTGTCGAATCTCCAAAAGAAGGATACGGAATGGTGCTGGGACACCGAGAATCGGGAGGGTCAAAAACAGCCTCCTTCATGCACCAATACTGATGTTGTCAGACCCCGATCCTCTTTTGAGTGTCGTCTGTGACACTTCGTACTTGCCATCGGCCGTTCACTGCTAAAAGCAGACGCCGAGGGGCGAGATCGGGTGATCGCGTTCGAATCTTGCCAGCTTAAGGCTGCAGAGGAACTACCCAGTCCACGACAAGGAAATACCTGCGATAAAATATGCACTTGTCAAGTCCAGGGTCCAGCTGCTTGTCTCAAAGCCATTTATGATCTACACAGATCATGCGTCATTACTCACTGCAACTCAGCCGCCTCACCAGTCGCAGATGATGACCAGGTGGCTCTCATTCTTTGCAGAATATATCTTCGAGGTAAAGTATAAGCTAGGAAAGCAGAATGCTTTGGCTGATGCGTCGTCACGCAGACTGGATTATGAGCTTGCCCATGTCGCAACGGTGACGTCGTCGGTGACGGACTTGATCCGCACCGCATGCGCGGGTGATGGTATGAGTGTAGCGCTGCTACAGGCTCTCGGGGGCAACGAGTTTGGAGATCAGACAAAAAAATGTTGGCGCGTTTGCGCGCACAGTTACACCGATATTCGTTTAGTAACAGATTGCTGTATTATAGCACCGATTCAGCAGATACGCCACAAATTGTGGTTCCTCACGATGAGAAGAGATATTATATCCTCTATGAGGCCCACTCCACTCAGTGGTCATCTTGGTCGTGAGAAGACGTACAGCTCGGTACTTTGCCACTATTGGCGACCAAGCTGCACAAATGGATGAGCACATATGTGCCCACGTGTGAGACGTGTCAAAGAATGAAACGAATGCGGCGGCGCCGCTGGCCGGTTTACCGGTACCCTCCGGATGTTGGCAGTCCATGTGTATGGATATTGTGTTTGGCCTGCCGAAGAACTCGGCGGGCAACAAGGGTGTGGTGGTCTTTGTGGACCGTCTGAGCAAGATAGCTCATCTTGCGACAGCGCTGAACATCATCGACGGTGTGGGTACAGCGACGCTGTTTGTGGATCGTTTCTTTCGACAAAATGAACTCCAAGAGTCAATTTTCTCTAACAAAGACCCACGCTTCACTGGGATGCTTTGGTCGACAATCTTCATGGTGCTGGGCCCAGATTGACTATGTCAACAGCGGACCATCCGCAGACCGTTGGTCAAACTGAGCGCGTGAATCGCGTCGTTGTAGACGTTATCCGCCGCGTATGCGCTGAGACGCCTAAGTGCTGGAGCGCCAATCTACTACTTGTGGTGTTCGTTCTGAACAATGCAGTGCATGTGTTTACCGGCTAATCGTCGTTTTACGTGATCAAGCTTGTTAAATCATCGAGTCCCGCCGAGGCCGCCATTCCATGGCTCAGGGCTTGGTGGATTAAAATAACCGAGCGGCTAGCTGACGTCATCCCCCTCACTATCCGTAAAAAAGTCAATGACTTCCTATCTACCAGACTGAGTGCCCAACGACACGTTCGCGATGCGATGAATGGAAGCCAGACATGCAGAAAGAATTGCGGACGGAAGAAGTAGAAGAAATGTTAGGAAACTTTAGGTCGGAGACCTGGTTTATATTAAATGCCAAAAAAACTTTAGACTTGCAGTCTCTTGACAAAGCTCCTTTCATTGTATAACAGACCTTTTAGAGTCCTGGCCAAGCGAGGCCTTGTGCATACGCTAAACCTTCCAGGAAGGAAGCGCAACCTCCCGATGTTTTATGTGGGCTTATTTCAGCCGTACCAAGATCCAGCACAAGAGAACGCGGAAGCGTTAGCGCCGTGACGGCGTCTAAAGGCGCTCGGCCGTCAAGAAGCTGAAGCAGCAACTGGTTTTGGGCACGGAGTCAACGATCTCCGTTTCCAACGTCGCCAGGCGCTCCATCGTCTTAGAAAGTAGCGTATCGTCTGCTCGACGGCTAGGATCGCTCCGACAAAGCGCGATAGCCCTCAATGTGAGGAGTCGGTGCACCAATTGCTCCAAGCCCTCGAGGTCTTTCGCACAGCGGTATGCAACTTCGGAAATGTGCTCGGCGGGGGTGCCGATGTCAACGAACTTTGTTCTCTCGAGCTCGAAAGCATCGCGAGTCGCTGGACAAAGATCGACCAAGTCGTCATCGTCCGCCCCCGACTCTTCTCGATGAGAGTGTTAGCGTCTACTATTACGTAGAACGCCTTTTGGGTCAATATCGTCGACGGGATCTAACCCAATATCTTGTGAAGTGGCGGGGATTTCCAAACTCCGAAAACTCGTGGGAGTTTGAAGCGCCACTTTGGCAAGACTGCACAGACGTCGTGGACACTTATGATCAGAAGGATCATGATGCTTCGCGTCGTCGTGCATTATGCGCTTCTCGGCAGTAGCCCGGGAAGTCGGAGGTCCATGAGCCGAGCTCAAGATATGGCCCTGAGCTACTGGGGTCGTAGACTCACCCGTGTGAGACACCACAGAGCTCGCGGGGGCGTGATAGAATATATCATTTCTCGCAGGGGAGTTTGGCGCAATCAGATCGAAGATGATTTTCCACGCGCTTGTCTACTTCCGTGTGGTTCTGCTGTAAGTTAGCCAGCGAGAAAATTTTCCGGTGCCGCTACACCCATCGCTCAAAGAGCGTATCATCGTCTGCAGCGGTTTCGCAAGAGGTGAGCACCGCAGAAATAGTCCGCATTACGGGTACAGGAACGCCTCCTCGCTGAGCGCGAAGTCGAGCGCGGGACCTATCTATTGGGATTTCTTGAGGTGCCAAGAAGCGAGCTCGAAGAGCTTTTCGCTGGTCAAGCTCAGTTTGTGTACTGGCCGGGGCCCGACTACGTAGACGTCTGACGATCTAGTGATCACTTCTCTCGCTTTAGTAGCGGGATCCGCCAAGCGAAAGCCGTATACCACACGAGGGTCTAAGATCAAACGTGGATACAAGTACATGAGAGCCAGCCTGTGGGCAGCCTTCAACTGCTGCTTCTGTGCCTCGAAGAGGCGATTGGTAACAATACCACTTCTCCTGGTAGTCGAGAGGTCGGGGAACGAACATGATGTCTGCAAGGTCGAGTAGGGCTCACGTCGTGCCGCTGGTGCGCCTCATCTTCCTCGTCTTCCTATCGTGGGAGGAGTATCCGATTCGTAGTCAACTTTCTCCGAATCTTCGACGAGGAAATCCGTCGCCCGTGGCGGGGGCAGTGTGTGGCGTTCGGTTGCCGAGGGCTTGGGGGATGCATCCCATGAAGCAGCGGACGTACTGTCCGGAGATGCACCGCGTGCAGAAGACGAAGAAGGGCTCTGCCCCGGACGCTCTCGGAACCAGCGAGGTGTTTTCGTGTCATAGACACAGGGCTCATGGAACAGAAAATGTGTAAAGAGGGTTCTAGGGACTTAGTCTGAGACACGCGAGCCTCGTACGAGGCGACAGTTAAATGTGAATTGTGGGTAATCCTAATTTGTATGGGGAAGAGTGGAACAGGGTTACACGTAATCTGGTATAAAGGTGTCGTTCACACAAGATCGTGTGACCGTACAAAGGTGTGGATTACACAAGTCGGTGTATTCACTCAATGGTGTAACTACACCGTAACAAGAAGCCACTTTGTGGCGGGAGTTAAGCATACTAATTTGGTGGTTACTATTTTATTAGGAAAGGCTAAGGTTTTAGATATAGGCGGCTCTGCCGCAAATAAAACATATAATACATTCTCAAGTTCGAACGGAACGGTGTAATTGCCTATGTTAACTTTTTGTGTAATCTTGGCGGTAGTGGTTTGCGATTCGCTCCACTCGTACTGGTTCTTGTAAAGATCGTAAGGTCGGTGACCTAAGTAATCTTCCTTAAAGCAAAGAGCCCAGGCGGCCCCGGTAGCACTTGTAGTCAATCTACGCCGGAGTTGTTACGACTGATCATCTGTGAGGATACATCTATTCTCCTATTTGCTATAGGGCATACAGGACGGGCTTAATAAGCTGATGTTATGCTGGGCCCTGAGGGCGTTGGATCACTATCTCCCTCCTTAGCCTGACTAACGTCTATCCCCTATGGGGTGCTCTTAGTGCCCCCACCTCTCGCAAACCTGCTAAATCTTTCGGATCCATAGTATGTACCGTTTTGAACTAATTACATATCGATTTCCCGGCAGAGCCAAACATTTCTCGCTTTCCTTGGCTGGTAATCAACCGCACGCGCTAATTCAATCAATAATGTCCGTTAAGATTCGTACTTATAACTTAACACCCAATTTTCAATTTCACCCATTATAAAACGTTGGGTAATATTAATTGCGACACAAAATCTTGTACTTTTTACAGTGTTCGTAAACACGTACCTTTTACTATACCGTTTTTCCTACAGTACTCGGACTCAGTACTGTAGACTCATACGGCTGTTTTTGTGTCGAAAAAACCAACTGAACCAACAATCGTCACTTTTAAAGTTATATCAAAGAAAAGAATCGACCACAAACCACAATATGGTGAGCATTGGAGTTTCCACGTCCGTATGCTTATCAGAAGCAACTTCTCGTATGGATGCAAGTCAACTCGTGACAGATAATGCTCTATCATCGTTTTCGACTTCACCAAATTTCTCGAGCTTTACCCGTTTTTTGGACCAAAAGCGTTTTCAGGAATTGTTTCCGAATGCTATTGAACTCTACGACTTCAACAGCCTTGTGAATGCTGCTAAACGATTTCCACAATTTGCCAATACTGGTAACGATGTGAAAGACAAGCTCGAATTGGCAGCTTTCTTAGCTCAAACTGCTCATGAGAGCGACAACTTTAGAGCCGCTGAAGAGTATGGCCATGAAAACTACTCGATATCACAGTACTGTGACAATACTACTTATCCGTGCGCTCGTGGTCTCCGGTATCATGGTCGTGGTCCAATTCAGCTTTCATGGAACTATAACTACTTCAATGCTGGCAATGCTCTTGGACTAGATCTTCTAAATCATCCTGAACTTGTCTCTACCGATTCAATTGTGGCATGGATGACGGCACTTTGGTTTTGGATGACCCCGCAAAATGGCCAACCGATTCATGATGTTGTCACTTGCGTGAACGGATTCGCAAAATCCACTCAAGTTATCAACGGTGGACTTGAATGCGGTCCAAACGCTATCAATCGAGAGAGCGTATTGCAACGCTCTAAGTACTATCTTCGAATGTGCGACGCGTTGGGTGTGGACCCATTGGGTAACAACTCAAGTGATATGTGCACAAAGTCTACGTACTAGATATAGATACTAAGTACAATGCATCAATTTTAATGATACACGTCAGCGGATTACATACATACAACAAGCTTTGTGCAGCAAATCTTCGTTACTGTCGTATTTTTAAAATATTGAATCTAGCCTCAAGTAGTTAGCACATCAAGTATTACATTATCATCTCCTTTTGACGATGCAAAGTTTCTTTCTTGCTAACAGACGAACCCTCTTGCGCTGACACGACTAGTATACGATATTGATGTGGTCTTATGCCATTCTATCTGTCTACTTTTCTCGTTGACAACTGTGATATTTGTCAAATGACATTTGACATTTTTCACACCAAATGAATTTTGGATTGTGGGTACGGAAGTAGTTGAAATATTTATCTAGGAAATAAAATTAACTGGATAGTTTTCTTCAAAATGGATGTGAGAAAAATCTTTTATGAGATACTAGATTTTATCTTCTTACCCATCAAACGTGTTTTCTATACCTCTGACTTTAGCTCAAGAGCGTGGCAATTGCCTTCTGTGCATCCCAATTGTGCATAATAATGCAAATGCGATGTTGTAGATGACGTGTAAGAGCATACTAATGTTGTGACGTCGACGACCAGATCTTGCAATCTGGTGGCTCCGGCTTTTCTACAATTGATTCTGAAGCCAGGAAAATACCGGTAAGCTAACAAACGAGACGAACAAATCATCAGGATTCTAGGAACATGAGCAAGCACATCGATCGACAAGATACATTACGAAGTGGGTGGCCCCGGCATTAGCCACACTGGTGGATACTACAATGACATGGACCACCTGTACATCTTAGCTGCTGTGATTGATCAAAAATCATACTGCATAAGCGAATAAATGCATCAGTATAGCAACAACAATTAGACTCAATAGTATCTTACGAGCATCTCCTTAAAAGCAGGATAAATTCTGAATTCTCCCATCAAATTGTTATTCTTACAATTTGATGAGAGAATTTAAAATTTATATTAGACAAAGGCAGAATGGCATTTTCATCAATAATTACAGTTTTAGTTGGACTAACATGTATCCCGTCGGTAATGCATATGCAAACGGGTTGCCGAACACCTTGCACAGACTCAACAATTTGCGATAGCAAACTTACAGAGGATACGTTTGCACACTTCACTCAGGAGCGAACCCGAGAGACTTCCTTGTATCTAGATACCTCATTGTTTTCTATGCCAAAAGTGACAAATTTAGGCGAATTTTCTGAATGTATTGGGTTCCTATATTTATTTGAGCTTTATAGATTGCGCGATGTGAGACAAAAAACCCACGTCCGATCCTTTGTGAAGTCCCATCGTTCTCGTCATTTACTATGAGTCTATTTATTCTGAATTTTGCACAAATCACAAAATCGTTTTATTAAGTTTGCACAGTGCACAGATGGGTACCATGTAAGTACACTTTAGTATTGTACATGCCAAAACGTGAACCACACCGGATGGAAATCATATTGCGCAAAAAGAAACGGTCAACGTGTCCCGACTGCGCTTGTTTGTCGACTCAGCATGCATCCTAGAGTACCTGCTCTTACGAACCTATTGTATGAGGATCCTGTCTTTAGCGTGTCCCCTAGCACGGCGAGCCTCTGACAAAAATGCAATCCTTGCGACCGATGACATTTTAAGCCATCGCGACAGAGGGGTCAATATGTTTCATTAGAAAAACAATCGTAGTGGCCCCTCCGGTCCCGACCTGACATAAATGCCCCAACCAAGGTACAAACTGCAGTGGGTTACGCTTCACTTCACCTCAGCAAAATGTGTACTCCACGCCCGTTTCCCAAGGCAGATTTGCAGCGGCAGCCTGTTGCGGGTCCTGTAACGACGGCTATATCTAGCTCCGTGAGTCGATCTTACCCGTCACAAAGCGCATTAGCCACGGTGACTCAATCTCGAATTATTATGGTTTTGATCCATTTATAGATGCTCGCTGCAGCACCTAGGAATCTCTAGACAGCTTTAAGTGCAAATATTCTCCTTTAATCGAGAGCAAAACGAGCACTCAAGGTCGCTCGCAAGAGTTTCTGATACCACTAGTCGCCAATCCTTTGGGTACCGCTTGCACCTAGAGCAGCAGCAGTCGAGGTGGGGACGCTTTCTACGGTACTTAATGCTGCGAAGGTAGTAAAGTGTATCCTACAGAATACGCATGCTACGTGAGGACGGCACGTCGCCTCACCCGTCCAGCAGATTCGCAAGCCGCCTTTAGTGAAGGAGACGTCTGAACGCGTCAATTGGAACTTGTCTTTGCGAAATACGAGCACGATCTGTACGTGAAGGGGTAACTCATCACATCCAGCTCATGCCGTTTAACATTATAGCTCTTTCTCGTGATTCTGCGGGTAAAAAGCTGGCGAAGTCTCAAACTTGCTAATAGGTCAGATGCCACTAGCAAGTAGAACGCGCGATGAGCAAAGAAATCCGCTCTCTTCTGCCGTGGTGAAGAAGACCGTGGTTGCGCTAAGGCCTAAGCGTCAACAAATCGAGGTAATTGTTACAGAAGGTGAGCTTGATAATCCCATTAGTTTGTAAACGAGGGTATTAGTTCCACTAATTTCACTTCACCAGATATTGATAATATCCCTGATGTACTCGCCGGTGCACTATCCGTTTCAATTTGAAGCGGGCGGTCTTTTACTGATCGAGCAGTGCCGACGAAAAGTAACTCTATTGCGGCTGCTCTCATGAGCTTCTAGGCTGTGGTAGCACGTCAACTCTATCTGAGAGTCTTGTTGTGCGGCCAAAACTGATATGGGCACAATATCGGATGCACTCTTGAGTCGAAGACATCGTTCGGAGTACCCACATGCAGTCCAGAATTCGATTACTGCACTAAAAAACTTGACTACAGAGGATAGCTACGACGTTGCTCCGTTCTCAACAGAGCTCTTCAAACCCAAAGGGCCAAATGTCACAATATCAAGTAAAACCCAGAAGGCATCGGATTTTATTGGAAATGTTGAGAGTATCTCAATCTTCTTTCTGTATCGACCTGTAAGTGGCCCAATGTAGGCTGGTCGCTATATTTTCTTATGCATGTATAGGTAGGTTACCCGCAGCCGATTAAACCCTCTGACACACTAAATCATGTGCTCGTCTGCCTTTGGCGTTATTACTCTGTTTTTGCATATCCCGGCTCTCGGCGTATGATACTCAATCCATTTAGATCGATTTACTGATATTGGTAAAAAGTTTAGCGGGGTAATATCAGCAGGTCAGATCAAATCGAAAGCCTCTACTAGAACAGGGGTCACTTCAGGGCGTATCGAAAGAAAGACGGGTGTTAGCCAAACCAGTTTTATTAATATACAGTCAGCTTGCAGAGGTATGCACGCAAATTACATGGAGGCAACTCGCCGAAGCGGTTTCACAACGCAAATTCTTTGGAGTATATCTTCAAGGGACGCGCATCACGCGTATCGTCTGGTCGCCTGTTTGCGGGTGGTCAGAAATTGACATATTCAATCTTGTGCTGAGCACCTTGAATAATAATTGCCAAAACTTGACTTTGGATATCCGACTTCAAGCTTATGGCAAGTCATTTTGGCAGAAATATTTGCGGGGGAGCAGCTTTGCTGTATTCACACCGATCACATCATCACTAACAGTAGCGAGACGACCCTTTTAGATATGTAGATCCTTCTCCTTCGAAGTTTCCTTTTTTGCCGATCAAGCAATGACCATGCAGGGCTCAGTGCTGGACTTTACTACTTACGATTCGACACGCTCATAGGAGGAAGGCCGATGGGCATGGATGATGATCGTACTACCATTACAGTATTCTCGTGGTTATCCATGTACTTTACACATAATAGTTAATGACTTCAACTGGTTCCAAATAATAAACTCACAGAGACTGAATTCGTACGCATCAACCACGAGCGCGACCGTGGACTTTTGGAGTAACACGTTTATTGTTACTTAGACCTGCGTTCCAAAGTAAAAAGTACTTTATTATTAATTCTATCCATGCAGCACTTGATATATACGCAGTTCGTATCTCGCAATCAAATTGCCTTACTATTATATGTCATACGGATAGCAGTCCACGCGCGCCACCGCAAGCACCGTGGTCCTTGTGAACATAGCTCTTAAAGCTGTTTCTGGTGAGGATGTCAATGTACATTTCAATCAGAAATTTGCAGCTACTCTTCGAGTTTTGATCAAATCAATATGCCCGCACCCAAAGACATTTGACTCATCCTTTCATCAAGGAAGGTTGCGCTCACTACACCCCACCATCACGACATAAGGTCCTATTTTCACCCACTCTATAGTATCCTGCGCAAAGTACTTAATGAGGTGAGACAAGGTCACTGTCTCTCATGTGCAGTTGATAATACTTCTAAAAAAGATATAGGGAACTGACAAGGTGCAAGCAATCATGCTGCTCTATAGCACATTCTCTACTAAAATCGTCATTTGCGCTAGAATAATGTCTGCATCTAGCTTTTATAATACCAATTCGCCACCTCCGTTAGCATTTCTGACACAGAAAATCGGCGACGAGAGGGCCCAATAGGGGTCTAAGAAGTTCGTTGTGATATTACGATTGCACAGATACAACAATGGTCACTACGGAAGCAAGTTCTATAATAACCTGGGAGTGTGATCTGTAATAGATGGTTTTATGTGATGATGTGATAGCGGATCGTGTAGTGGTGGGGCAATTTTGAGTCATAGAACGCATGGAAGTCATATGACCGGAGATGACCTATTGCATTTTGGGAGCAAAAGTCACAATCCATTCAGAAGTATTGGTGGCTTGTTAGCTGCGCGGAGAGAGAATGGATCCAACTCATACAAGTGCTTTTTGTAAGCGCTCATTTCGGGCTTACGATAAGCACACAACATTTTGATGGGGGATTGTTGTTTGCTCACAAGGTTAGCAAGCGTAATGAGTTGGGTGAGCCTGTCGGATCCCAAAAAGAAATACATATCGCTGGAATCAAATGCTAATGATGTACTGGATAGTGCTATTCAGAAACTGGACTGACCCTTACAATTGGGTCTTTATGTGAGTCTAGGGTGTGCGCGACATTCTGAGGCATCGTCTCACGGTATTTACATATACGATAGGAATCACCCTTGCCTTTCGCATATTTATAAAGAATTCTAAATTTGGAACGAGTTTAATGTTTTGACAGTAGCATTAACTAAGAAACTTGTTGCTTTTCAAAACAGATTATTCTATTTAAATCAGCTGGTATGGTAACCACCACAAAAACTATGGCCATCCGCCAGTCCATCAGCAAACCAAAAAGTGTTCAAAGCATCAGTTTCATATCTTTAACGGGCGGATGACATATAGCCCATGCGGGAAATAAATCGTCAGCGTGGAGTAATTTTGTCTCATGTCGGTATAGACGGTGAAATAAGGCAGCAATGCCGATTGTCGAACAGTTTGGGCGGCAACTAGTTGCTCTTTAAGGTCCCTTGATATTCTTTTCACAGGACTACTGGCCCTTTGCATTCTAAGAATCCTTTGATTTACCAATGTCTGTCAACAAAATTTGCAATACGATAGGTTGCTGCGTTTTAATTGCGAAGCTGCGCAATTCTGCCTTCCAACCTTCAGACCGAGCCGAACCTTTGAAGCGTGCTTGCTAGTAAGTGCGCCATAAAGCTAGTACTTCGCTTGCTGCCCGACTCCCCGCCTGTTACGAAAACCGGAGCCTTAAGCTTTGAGTTAGCTCAAGTGCTTATAGTCTAGGATAGGTATCGCCACCTCAAGAAGCAAATCCTTTCTTGGCATCGCTAGCCAATTGTGTAGAACTAGACAGCAAATTTGAAAATTCCAGTGCTCCACACGAAAATCCACTTTACGATAAAGGTGAGCTCCCCAGGAGCATCCACCGTGTCAGTTGCTCCCAAACTGTTAAATACCAACCTTGATGTTCTAGGCACGCCTGAGAGGGGATCTGCTCTTGATAGTACCGCTAGCTGTCGGCGTTGATTTTTTGTCTTAGCTTCTGCCAAAGTGTTGGCTTCAGCCGTGATTTTAAATGGTTGATGCGACGGTACACTTGCCACAAAAATGCGCTTTAGCTTGAAATTTTGTAGCTCGTTTCGTGACGGCTAGCAAACGACTCGTGGAGATAAATGCAATGTAACGGGGTTTCACATGCCCTGCCTGGTATGAAGGGTGTGAGTCACAGAAGATGATGTGATCACACAATGGTGTGTTGCACAATATGGTGTGACCACATAGTTTTGTGGCTACATTTTAACAAGAAGTCAGTACTTTGCTGGAACAGCCAGTAATTATATATTCAATTAGGCTTTACTACATAAATACGAAAGCCTATAGATTTAGATTTAGAATGAAACCGAGAAATACAGTTTATTACTTAATCAAAAAGTTAATAAGCCTTGGGTTAAGGTTGTAGTGAGTGGATTGCAATCCGCTATACTCACTATAAAACGAAGGGTACCGACCTAAACTAAGCTTCCTCTAAGCGAAAGAGCTACGGCAGCCCCGCTGCATGCAACGCGCGTTGTGAACTAGTGACCTCAGACTTGCCATAGATTATTCCATTCGGTCAAACATATTCAGCCAACGAAGGAAAAGCTACATCATTCATCATGCCAATCAGAAGACAGTGAACCTGTCCTAAAAGCTCCCTTTGACACCTGATAACCCCATATATCTAAGCACCGGCCAACAGCATCGTTCATGACGTACGTACACATACACTGTTATTACTACGAACTTATCAGAAAATCTATAGAATGATACTGTTTACTGATTATGCAGTGTATATAGTGTTATCATTGTAGATCGTAAACATATGCATTTAGCGTTAGCTCAAACGCTAAATGTATATGCTCATTTAAGTCTGAGTATATGTCAGTCCTGGAAAAAAACGCAAACTCAGCTCCGATATACTCGTGTAAGCTCTCGATTGCACTCCTGAGTAAAACGTACGAGCCCAATGTCTATGCGTCATAACACATAATCCGCGTAAACCCCCGTTCCACTCGGTAGCACTCGTCGTCATTCTCAAGACAAAATTGTAATGAACTGCATTCTATGCGAGAGTGAAGCACGGGATTTTTGAGTACCGTGTACCACGATTTTTTTTAATTCTCCATCACTTTTGTGAATACCAATGTTACGGCAATTATCATGTCCAGCAACTTGATCATAAGCTGACCATTGTCGCGATCGTTGCGGCGGGGTGTCGCGGCACTACCTACCGTTGGGAAAATACATGGATGGAGACCAAGGTATTCAAACTCATCATTAGACCGCAGCGCATGACCGCTACTATCTTATAAGCTCTGTTCGAGACAATTAAATATACCAATGCTAGTAAATAGTACAGTTGCATGGTTTGGACGAATCCTATCGCAGCTGTATGCCTGAGCCAAAACGTTTTGCTTTCTTGATAGAAAATTCCTCATGAATCGGCAATGCCCCACCGAACTAATTCAATTTCCAGTCTTTTCATGTTTTGAAGCGCTCCTGTTACTACATGCCCAGAATGAGATTGATGGTCTTGGATAGGCACTGTTCTACGGTTGCAAAATCCTCACGCTTTATTCCAAGTGCATACTGTAACATATGCACTATGTTATGTTCTATGTTATGTACGCAACATGTTATGTTCGATGTTAGCGATTACAATGGTACATTGAAGTACAGGGCCGGACCCATCGTGTCCACAGATGTTCACCCATCTTGTGGATCGCACCTGGGTACCGTGTTGATCGTAAGCACATGTTGCTGAGTATAACCCAAATGCAGCCAATCACAATTCAGTCACCCATTACGTCAGAGCGCTTATCCAATGAAAATCATCGGACCAGAAACACGATCAAACAATCCGACGATGACGACTACATATTTCATGTCCATTCATTTCAGTTAACCAAAACAATAAAGCTCACTTCTGAATCTGCCAAACACTACACATACTAGCCTTCAAAACTTCTGTCAGCGCCCCTATCACAAGCCGCATGGAATCGTACCCCAATCTCGCGCATTCAATGCGTTCGCGTACATTCTCTTTACTACTGGCGCGTCGTACGTAATTGTATAAGGCTCCAGAATCCATCAGGTTTTTCCGCGGCTTCACGAAGTCCAAAACATGAATTTTACCAACCAATGAAGCGAAGCCATCAGCTCTCAGGCGAGTTGCTTCTTTCGGGGTTTGGTTCCATTGACCTCTGTGCGCAAATCAGGATACCACCTTTCTTCTTGTGGGGATTTTTTGCTCACGCATTCGTGGGAGCTCAACCATTCGTACATCTTAGTCAAAAGCGAAAGGGATACGTAAGTGTAGATGTTTTGCTCTGCGGTTGTACCCAACATATGCGGTTACTGCAGAGCTTCTCAGCAGCAAAGCAATACCGCACTTCTTCCCTAACTTGGCTGAGGTCCATCTTCTACAGAGCTTACAATCCCAGCTTCCCATGCTGCCTTCAAGGCACGGAAGTTGCGCACCGCATTGAATGCGATGCCCATCGCTTCCTCGGTTGAGGTAGGGTGGACGCGAAAGGTCTTGCGCAAGCCGCACCTGTTCGGATCCCCTTCATTAAGATGTTCGGATCCCCTTCATTAAGATGTTGGAAGTAACACCTCCGAGAGAGATCGAGAATATACTGCAGATACAAGAGCTCTTAACCTCTGGATGGAGATCACTTGTTTGCTCCGCTCTCGACAAGTGGACAAAGCGCTTGAAGCAGAGCAAGCTGGATGACTCACGTCTGAGGCGTTTGGTATGCTTTCAATTGGAGCGAACGAATCCAATCTCATCAAAGAGTCGAAACGTTTTTTGTGCAAAGTGCACGTCAACTCCGTCACATTCTAGCTTGACGACCACCCGTTTGGACATGGCCTAATTCAGGCCTGTCTCCCGATATTTTTTCTGTCACTGCCTTACAAAATCTCTGCTCTCAATATCAACTGTCTCGTGGTGAGTGCCATATGTTCTTACACCAGAGGCCAGCCGGGGCACTTCTGGAGGTTTATTCTTATAGCTAGTGAATGTCGTCAGGCGAACATTCATCGCATCTAGTCTTGGGGCCAACAGTGTGCCGAATCCTCTGAGACCATACCTAATTCGCTCCTATCGCGCTGGTCCAGAGGTTTTATCACAATTGGTTGGTTTAGGGCTGGAAGCGGTAATTGCTCGTCTGGTGGCGTTCTTATGCTAAGAGACTGCGATAATAGAACGCCCGAAACAATCATCTGCGAGACAAACATCGACTTACACTGTGATGAAGTTTAAGTTTAATGGGATATTTAACACATCTTTGTCAACTGTGCATAACAAAGAATTATACAGTTGTACGATACTCACATTGCCTTATTGTGCGGTCCTGATTGATGATTGCCGCAGTATCAGTATCTACAAAGACGATGGGGCTCCTTAGTAAGCGGTTCGTCGTTACGTTGAAGAAATGGGTATTCGAAAATCTTGTGCCCCATTCTCACAAGAAAGCAGTCTATCCACAACTTGGTCTTGAGAATGACGACAAGTGCTACCGAAAGGATCCGGGTTTTTGCATATTATGTGCTGAGGAAGCTTCGACTCAAAATTTACGTGATGAGACGCATAGAGTTTGGGCTCGTACGCTTCACTCAGAAGTGTAATCGAGAGCTTATATGAATATTTGGGTGCTTAGTTTGCTTTTCGTTTTCAAGATTAACAGTATCAGAACCAAAATTTCTTTGAGGTAACACTTAATGTAATTGTTTCAATCTACAATAATAGCAATATGTGCACTGCACATAGCGTGAGGGCATGTCCAACGGTTATCCGTGATTTCAGTATAGTACCAAGAATATTCGTAGTGATGATAGGGTATGTACATCATGAACGACGTTGATGGTTAGATCCTACACTAAATGTCATAAAACTGAGGTAATGTATTTTTCACTTGCCTTACTAATTGTTACTGTAACAAAAACGCAGTATGATCGCATGTCTTTGTAAGGAAACTCAATTTCTAACTGCAACTTAATATCTAGAAAAATACCCCTCTTAGGAATATCGGTGTAAAATTATAGCAATAAAAGTTAACTAAGAAATGGATGATTTATTTCCTAGCACATGCACAAGGAGTTGAGCGAATGAAGGACCCGACGTGTCCAACTGATGCCAGTAGAAAGCTAAAGCACGAGACACAGAAATTTAAACATATTCTCTACCAGCGTGGCTACTAATTTAATATTTACCAAAAGAATGCAATCATTTTCATCAAAAACATGAATTTTATTACTTCTTGGAATTTTACTCATTGCAAGAGATGTTGCCCAGTGGCTGTACCCCTAGAACATCACACATTTGGGTAAAGTAACTCATACGTTGCAACTCACTTCTTTTATTCGGAGCGTTTGGACCACATTCTAGTCCACCATTAATGATATCGGTAGAGATTGCAAATCCATTTATTCCAGAAACAACATCGTGGATCACGCGTCCAGCTTGTGGGGTCATCCAATACCAAAGCGCCGTCATCCATGCGACTGTTGTATTAGTGGCAACTGTGTCAGGATTGGTAAGTAAATCAATACCAAGAGCATTGCCAGCATTGTAGTAATTGTAGTTCCAAGAGAGCTGAATAGGACCACGACCATGGTATCGACGACCAGGAACACATGGGTAAGTAGTATTGTCACAATACTGCCATACTGTGTAGTTTTCGTGACCGTATTCTTCGGCTGCTTTAAAATTGTCACTCTCGTGAGCCATCTGAGCTAGAAATGCTGCTAACTCGCGCTTGTCGTTGGTCTCATTACCAGTATTCGCAAACTCCAAGTATTGATTGGCGGCGTTGACAAGACCATTGAATGTATAGAGTTCAATAGCATTTGGAAATATCTCGTGAAAGCGATTTTGATTGAAGAAACGAGAAACCCCTGGATGTTCAGCTAAACACAAAGTCGAAGGTGACGCTTTTTCTGTCGGAGTGAGGCTAATTTCGGGTGTTGAGTTTTGAACATTGTCGTTTGAAACAGCAGAAACCACAGACAAAAGACGCAATGTTGCTAAAATTCCGATGAACATCATGTTTCTTCTTGGCAGTCTCTTAGTACTTTGCTTCTTTACCACTGAAATTGAAAAATGAATCTCAACCAATATAGTGAGAAAATGCACCTTGTGTTCTCCTGTTAGGGCGTCAACCGAAATAAAGACAGAAACTTGACGGCAAATCGCATCTGTCTGCCGTTTCGGTGCATACATCTGTTAAAACCACGTATTTAAACACAATCTCTATAAAATAAAAGGCCAATAAATGCACCCAGAGACATACGAGATTGCTCATGGCCATCACTGCTTATTCCAGTTGTACTATCCAATTTAACCCAGCGAAGTTTCACCAGAAGGATCATGATAAGGAGAGAAATATCTTAGCTGACGTATTAATCGTTTCGATCTCGTTAGATTTGAGAGAGCCAGATATGAAGCTAGGGTGGCACTCTCTCATGTACGGTATAATGCTCGTTATCCTTAATCTCTTTGGGTACGCTCGCTAGTAATCCCTCACCACCATACAACACTCTTGCTATATACAATAATTATTGTGGAATCAGATCGCAATGTTTCCTGCAAAGGCGAAATTTGCTATCATTGGTGGAAACGGCACCATAATCTTTGAGACTGGATTCTAGAAGAAAATCTCCTTATTACTTTTTGTTGGGGGATTGCCAAGATCTTTGCTATCCCATTGCCCATCGTATCATTTGTCATTCGAAGCATGATTTGTCTAAATAGAGAATACAATGGATGTTGAGTGGCTGTGGTCCACCCACATGCATAAGAACTGTTTCCAGAGCCCTAGCACCATCTGATAACATATCAGACGATTCATGAGAAAGAGCTTTGCTTTGGTGCCTGCAGTTGATTTGATGGATGCTGGCAAGTCTATCCATTCAATAAATGTGTGGCCTCGGTTAGAACTTATCCTTCAGAACTGTTCAGGTAGAGAACTAGAGAACTAGCTTATCAATTCGCACAGTGAGACACTACATCTACAATTTTACGTACAACACATACCCTGTCAACGTCGGCTTTGTTCTATGTCGTACTAACATGTAAAGTTTTAAATAAAACCATGCTTAAAACAAGTCCCGATGGTGCGTTATTGTAGTGTGAATAAGCTCATATCTCTATCAAAGGGTATATTCCGACGTAAGGAAGCACACACTCGTGTTCTTTTTGTTACAATCTTCCCACTTTGTACTTAGCGTCAATATGGAACATCTTTGAGGAAATTAGATGTGCGCAATCTGTTCCATTAATTAAATTTCTAGAACTCTGATACGCCGCACATTTTATTCCAATCAGGGTGAGTAAATCAGTTCTAAATTCTGCGTGGGACACTTTCTCACTGATTTGGGGGCCTGATGGCATAGCTGTATACATTCGCTCTATGATAGTAAAAACGTCATAACTTGCGCGGCAGAAGCACTAATATTGCTTGAACACAATACAAAAGGTGGCGCACAAACAGTCAGAAATTGTCATGGTGTGACTCCAGCCTTTTGGTATTTGCTTCTTGCATCTTGCATCTATATCCATTCACCAGCTAGCGCCGCTTCTCACTTGTTAGTCTGGGATGGGGGCGATACCCTCAACTTGTGCCGTCCATGGAAAGCTTGACTTCCAACTACCTCACACCAAGCCACTCCTCAAGGTCTGAACTTTTGAGTTTAAATCTATTTTAATTCATGCTCGTTCGGTCGCTGTTCTCAAGTCCTCGTCTTGGCAACCCTTGTCCGCTTATTTCTTGACCTTTGGACCTCGGTTCCCGCTCGACCGCTGTTGACCTTCCTTGGGAGTAACATATGTCCCAGACGTACTTGTGGTCGGTACCCTGCGATCATTTTCGTTGTGTACACGTCCTCTGATCAATTTTTGCAAGTTGTCCGGCATAGAGGCACGCAGCATCATGATAACCAGGCTTGCCATCCTATCCTTTTTTTCACATACTCAGGTTTGATGTCTTCGTTTTCTGGCATAGGCAAAAAGAGCTTGATTCTTATGCGCATATTTTGTTGTCCGCAATGCTGCCCTCTGATTCCAGCTGCTTCATCGCAGCCAGAGGGTTTCTTAGCATCCTGGATGCTTGAACACGTAAGGCTAAGGTCTTGGATATTTTTATTCAGCGCTAGTAGATCGTATCTAACATGCGAGGCTGGAGTGAGGTTACTCCCCTAGTAGACAATGCCCGGCAATAAGAGTTCTCAACTCTTGTTCAAAATATCACCGATTCGTTCTTGCTCTGTCGGGCAGCAAAGAAACGCGATCTCACGCGATACGCCTGATTCGGCAGCGAGAACACTCGCAGAGGCTGACGCTTCAGCTCCTTCCAGGATGAAAGCACCGCTTCAACCAAAGCACCGCACGTTAGTACCCATTCTCGCGCTCATCTTCCGAGCTTGGAGGCAGCTAGCGCTACGCACTGTTGCTCGTTTTGGAATATGGCATAGCTATCTCGGCCTCTATCCCCCAGCGCATTATATTATCTCCATATATACTTACTCTCGAGGGTCTTAATGTTCAATGAGCGGCCTGGATCGGAAGGAGTCATCCATCGTCGACAGTGGCGTCATTGGCGCAGTCGACGCTAACAGATTCTGTAGGTGCTCTAACAGAGCATATTATAAATTAAAAACGCTTCTAGGCGTGCGCTTATTGCCTCGGGTCCCTACGAAACAAGGTGTTCCACGCATTCAGGGCCCAGCAGGGGCATCAGGTTTTAAGCCTTTTCTGCATGACCTAGGGCAAATATGTCATCCTCACAGAGGATCAGTCTTAACGACTCAGGTGTAGATTGACTACGAGTGCTACCACGGGCAGCGGGACTGTCATAGCCCTTTGTTTAGAGGAAGGTAATCTAAGGTCACCGACCTTACGTTCTTTACAAGAAACAGTACGAGTGCAGAGGATCGCAATCCGCCACCTCCAACAGAATCCAGCAACCTTTACCACGGTAAAGATGCTCTTTCTTTCAAGATTGAAACTGTATTTCATACGGCAGAGCCGCCAATATCTAATTTTTAAGCTTTCCTGATTAATAAAGTAATAACTTATTAATGAAGTAAAACCTAATTAACGCATAACTACTGGGAATCCTGTTACGTATGGCTTCTTGTGAAGGTGGAGCCATGCCATTGTGTGATTACATCAACTTGTGTAAATCACACCTACACCGTCATGTGTGACCCGACCTCTCATACAAGGGTACGTGTAACCCCGTGACAAGTTCGATTTATTTGATTAATTTGTCCAGCTTACATCGGTTTTCCATTGACGTGCACCGTGCCGGCGACCAAAATGCAACTATTCGTCTCAAGTTTTCGGTGTGCTTTTTGTGAACATTGGCAACAGTTACTTGTTCTTTAAATCTATTGTTCAATGATGCAATCTAGTATGTTAGCCGCAGATTTGCCGCGTATCCCAAAAAGTTAATCGGTAGTCTACTCCAAACATCATGCTTTGCACCATGTTCATCATGATACAGGGATCGTCACTGATCTATTGTCTGCATCATCATGTAGATCAGCGGTTTGTCTTACTTTCTCTCACCTTCTAAAAATCGATTCAATATCTTGTAGTATCTAGTGTATTATCGCTCGATGTGAGTAGTTACAAAACTGCACCTATCCAAGTCTTGTTGTATTATACCACCGACTGGTGCTGCTAGCTTACAAAGATGCCAAAGAGCGTGTGTGGTAACCGAAACTATGTTGGTGGTACCGTAAGTACCTAACACCTTACGACACCCTCGTATAGCAACCTCGAATGACAATATACATATTGTCCGGTGAGCGATACACAGAGACGTTAACCTTTAGCGCCGCCGCACCAAGACGTTGCCAAAACCGCTCTATATAGTAGTCAATATTTTAAGCATTATAATGATCTTGTAATTGTTTTCCAGACAATCTTCCAATGTCATCGACCACCTTGGGTCCAAGCAAAATCTTTTCAGCTTCGTCAACGGCGTGTTGTTACTCGAGCCTTTCCAGAACAGTGGATTGTTTATTGTTGGCCTTGTTTGCACGGTATGGAATTCGCCCTCAAATGACATGCGAGCGTTATCCGAACAGCTTAATATTTGTACGCGCATAAATCTTCGGTGGGAATGCTTTGATAGCATTCCTTCTTGTTTTCTGTACGCACCGACATACTTACAATCTTAACATAACATCTTTTTAATCCCTGACACATGCCCCACGTACTGTTAGCCTTCTCCCCACTAGATTCACAAATACTCTGATCAGTCTGGCACCCTTCGTTGCTGTGGGACGCTGTGGGACGCAACGAAGGGTGCCAGACTGATCAAGGTATTTGTGAATCTAGATTTTTTTATTTAAAAATGGTATTATTAACTATATTAATTGCTCGGCCCAATTTATTTTATTTTTGTTTATTTTTCCTGATATTACAAACCCGCGATCTATGTCGTGAGAAGCCATATATAAAAAAATTATGTCTGTCGTCAGCTCGTGATGTGAAATATTTGGTTGGTAATTGTAGAATGTGTTTGGTTGAACTTAATATCCCACTTCGACTTATTTTCGGTTATAAAATGATGTAGCTCATTAAATAATTACTATTACTACTTATTTTTTGAAATTTACAATAATTTTTTTATAATCTAGCCTTTACATTACCATTATGTTATCTAGCCATAAATTTGTATGACAGCTTCCAGTAGTGTATTGAGGTAATATTTTCACCCAAATTCTCCGCACACAGAGCTGAGATCGCTGCGTGAGCATTCACCTCCGTATGGCAAACTTAAGTCCACAAAGGTCCGCCGCCTTCGGTATTTGATAACCCATCTCGCGATCGCGTTCTAATTCACACCCGAGGATACTACGACCTCGTTCTGATGCATCATTGCGTCCCTCATCAGCAAGTGAAGCACCGACAAAAACGCCATCGACGACACCGCTTGCTGTTCGACAGATAGTCGCACTCGAAGCCGATGTAAATTACATACTTACCAAATAACAACTGCATCCGCTGTCTAGTATCGGATCATTGTTGGTTGGACTCAGTGTCTCAAAGCGTTATCGCAAATTTGCGCAATTCACAGTAACTCTGCTTTTGCCCATGAATTACTATCCACCTTAAGGTGTCCCACCTTGTTGTTGTTAAATGACCTTCTTGTGTTGTTAACAAATGTACTTGTATACGTTTTACTGATATCATTCTCGCCTCCTGTCTCTTGCCGCAATCTGTAAAGTCTACACAAAGGGGGGTCCAGCTCCTCCGCAAGCTGCAAATAGTCCATCCACGCAAAACATGACCCATATTCCCATTGCAAGATTCGCATTGTGAACAATTATGTCGAGAACAAAACTATCTGCACTCCCACATGCTTCACTCACAGCCATTAAAAAACATCCAGCTTCTCTCACCGCTTTTCGTCAAAGTAATTATTTTCACTCTTTGCAACAACGTGATGTCATTAGCAATATTAATATCAACCTCTGCATTGCGTGCCTTAAAGTGAGATTCTACCATCTTTTAAATGATTAGTTGTGCTTTCTGCGAAATCGGCGAGACGATGTTCAAGTATGTCAACCTTGATGTATCTTGGCCACTAGAATCCGCCGGTATGCCGTGCGAATTTTATCTCCCTTAATAGTACTTGTCTCATGACATGAGCTCATTACCTAGACTAGTCGAGAGGTCCATCCTCCAAGTGGACTTAATCATAGCTTCTGCTGCCGCAAGTCCGGTATCTTTACGCATCCCGCAGGTACCACGCGGATATATTCCTAGTACACTGGCCTGTGACAAAGCGCAGAAGCAATCATAGGTGCAAAGTTTGAAGCGGTCGACAATGAAGATATCAAAGCAAGTAATTCGCTTGGCAATTATGAAGTTTGAGAATTTCCGAGGTGAAGGCGAGTTGATACTACTCGACCACGATGATAGTTATGATATGATTCTAGTCACGCCATAGTTTAAGCGTTATCATCCTAGCACTGACTGGATGAACATGAAGATCGTCATTAACAAGTTGTGCAGCGCTTGAGCAAACTGCATGACGAAGAACAAAACGATGTGGGCGTATGCATGTGTTGAAGAAGGCACCGAGTGTTCAAGTGATATTGTGGTGTGCGAAGGCTCTTTATACTCACAGGATAAGCCCACGAGGACAATAGTAACGACATCAACTAAAATTGGAGCAGTCAGACGCCAGGAAAACACTGTATCCTTTGCCAACGGCATGGAAGTCATGGTAGCACAACGAATAGTGGAACCTGTGGCAAAAATCCATCTGGAGAGAAAAGGAAAGTAACACCAATAAGAGTAATCCGTCAAGGTTTGTGCGCCCTTTTTATCAAGGTATAAGTTGCTTTGATGAAGAAAGTGATTAAGACTAAGACACTTCGAGGGAGTCTGTATATATCGCGGCCTACAACGAAAATGGCGTCAAATTTTTCCGTCACGCGATGATTCAAAATCCTCCAGGTTCAATCAAAGTGTTGTTTTTCTTGTCGTTTAGAAGCAAGAAGACGCTGAGGCGTGACCTGGCGAAATGCGAAATTTGAAATTATGTCTGATCGTCGAATAAGCTAATCGATATCATCAGTACTGCGAAATTATTTAATGGGAAGACACGATAAGAAACGTTTGATGAGTAGGACGCTTTGTGTACAAACCCCGTGTATGGACATATCAAGTAATATGCTGATGTGTTTCTATACAAGGTGCCGGACGAATTGCCATCCAACAGGCGCGGTCGTCATGGGATTTACATACTCCCTGGTAAGAAGTACTGCCTAAAGAAGAACGTTGAGTTGGAATGGTCAAACGATCACCAGGCGGTGTTTTCCGAAGTGAAGAAGGGCTTAAAGGAAGCTTTTGTCCTTGCTATTGCAAACCACGATAAACGTTTTCATGTCGTCTGCAATGCAAGGGATTATATCATTGGTTGTGCGTTGATTCAATCCGATGATGAGGGTCGAGAGCAATTTTTTCGTATCAGTCGCGACAGCTCCGGGCCGCAGAACGAAACTATTAAATTCAGGACAAAGAGCTTGTGACAATGCAGTTTGTTCTAGTAATGCGCTGAATGTACTTGCTTGGAGAGGAGCGCATTGCGATCAAAATATATCATGCCTCGCTGCGTATGGCAGTAAAAACTCATCAATTATCGCAAAGAATCGCTCGATGATTTATTCTCTTCGAAGTACAACTTTGTTGCAAGCCGAAAAGCCGAACATTCTAGCCAATGCGTTGTCAAGATGTCTGAGCTATAATCCAAAGTCCAGGAGTGAAAGCATGCACGAGTCATGTCGGCATTGCAAAGATGTTCAGACGATTAGTGTGCAAGCAACGACTACAGTGCGCAAAGAGACTGTCGAAAGATACAAATCCGTTGGGACTTGTCAGAGCTTGTCAGAGTATATCAAGGACCCTTCCGATAAAGCACTGTAAGGTCTTCCGTCTCGCAAAAGATCGCGGGTTCACCGTATGGATTACACAATGGATTGTTGCACTATGCAGTTGAACACGGGGATACAGCAAGCGTTGTTGTTCCGAATGACGAAAGTTTGCGTCATCGTCACTAATATGAATACCATGTCAGTTCCTCGGGTGGCCATCTCGGTTGGAGATAACCATCCATACACCCATGCGCCTACCTCTTACATTATTTGAGGGTAGGCTAAAGTCGTATCTTCCAAGTGAATCCTACTTTATCTTTGGAAGATGATCAAGCTGATCATAAAGCTTGTTTATTTGTCCACGAAGAGTAGCCAACTTTTCACCCTTGATATTCTAACGGCGTACAAGCGTTGAAGGACATCAAAGGATTGCTCCTGTATTGAACGCAGTGCTTGAAGGCGAGAATGGTACTGACCACTGAGTACCTTGAGAACTGAGCTTACCTCCTCAACAGAGCGCAACAGGTGTTTGTAAACTAACTCGAGAGACACTTTGTCCTTTCGAGGCTATACAAATTTAATTTGTTCAACGTAGTTAAAACGGGACTCCAAAGCCGGAAATTTGGGCGGAGCCATCAGTCAGAACGTCGAGTTTTGAGTTCCGCTCTGCAACAAGGCTCATACGACTCTCGCAGCGATCTTTAATCGTCGAGTAACGCTGCTGCAATGCCTCGATTTGTCCGCGATGAGCGCTCTTTCAATTCTAGAGTTGCCCAATCGTGTTCACGTTCAGTCACACCTCCCCTTTTAGACACTCATGGAGAGCGTCGTTGGGTGGTAAAGACGATTGTCGATCACAAGGATCGATTGACTTGCCATCGGGGAAAGAAGCAGCGGAATCATTAATGCTTCTACAGACTTTGATAGTACGGCTATCTATCAAGCTCGGACACGTGGAATCTTCGTCAGGCCTAGGATTCTGACGTCCCCAACGTGCTACGCTGCTACAAATATTGCTTGTATTGTTGCCAGAGGCAACACTATGACGACAAGATCTTGATTGTGCTCGGTCGTGACTGGGAGTCTTGCCAGCGCCGACTCGGCAAAGCAGACGTATCTACTTGTTCTCGCTCTCAAGGCAAACAAATGACCGCCAAGAGTCAATTTTGGCTGCGATGGGCTGGGTCGGTCATCAAGATTGTCGATCCGACGCGACTGAAAGAAATGTTAAATGTCGAATTTCTCGTCTCCTTTTCGTTTTAGAATGAAGAAAACGTCAAAGAGTTCTAAAAATCGTTCTTCGCTGTCTGGGCGAAGAACGCTCTTTAGTGTTGGCCTGTTTACTTGATTGCTTCATTGTTTATCGGAAAGTGAGCTACTCTAGAAGGTCTGCAAAAGGAGGGGATGCTGTAATGGGCTATAGTAGCCAGTACATGAACGTACATCTGTGTACCTTCTGTATGCATTATGGAAATTGATGTTAAAGGTTTTACAGTATGGTGTTCACAGATGAATACGTGACATCTTATATGAAGTCACAGTTATTCTCTGTGCTACAGAATGTTGGCTCCTACATTGGAATCTGAATTGGCGACGAGACTGACGTGCCGTCTTTCGAAGTGGGTAGCTTTTCGAAGTTTAAGTACCATTCACCCAAGACCTTGTAGATGTTGACACTGACGTTCAACCTATGTACATCCTTGATTTATATATTAGGAGCCCAAGTCTTATAAGTAAAACCTCTAGAAGCCCTTGGTGTGTTTTGCTGAATCATTAATTCAGTTGCAAATTTATCTTCAAGCGTGAAAGGTTGTTCTTCTTACCTTTAAGGTCTAAAGTCGTTCTTCTTCCCTCTACGTCAGGACTGTCCTTCTCCCTCCGAGTCGAAGATCTCTTTTTCGTCGCACAAGCGTGTGTGTTGAGATTAAAGGACTGTTTTGACAGCGCCCTCTTACAGCTTGAAGCAAAAGCTAATGAAAACTTGTTTGTGGACAACTATTGCCAGTCTTCTGTAGAAATCTATGTCTTCGCCATCGCCCTGTATAAAATTGTGCAATCGGGCTCCGAAACAACATCCGCTGTATACTTCTTTTTCGTGAATCGATGAGAACGTACCTTTGTCGGACAGTATTTCGCGGCGTTTGAGCCCTTCAAAATCATTACGAATGAGAACAATTCATGCACTCGCCATCTAAGTTGCAAGATCGGAGCATTGGAAAAGGTTCGCACTTTGTTGAACGCATTTCGTCACAAACCGACTCGAGGCTGATGTTAAGTGCCGCGATAAGGTACCATGAGTTTCGATTACGAGGTTACTTCAAAGTGACGATTGTTTTTCGAATTATGCTCTTCAAAGGCCCTGACAAATAGGGCAAAATCAATGCATTTGACAATGCATTTTATACCGCATTATATACAGCTTAACCAAGATAAAGTACTCAGTTAGTAAAGGCCTTGACTAGACGCAACAAGTAGCAGGGCCAAGAAACAATAGTCTGACCATTTCTCGCGACTGTGAAATACATTCGTCGATTTTGCGATAACCTATTGCACTTAGACTTTGTAAATATATGAAACGCGGCAAATCGACGGTGACTTGAATCTATTTGCATTTGCGGGCACCCACGTGTAAGACCTGGCGAAAAACGTTTTGCTCTAATCATAAGATAAACGGGGTCTGCTATATGAGACACTTGAATTTTTGTGGTATCAGACACTGAGTGATTAATTTTTCGACGAGTTGGCCAGACTTGATTGCTGGGATAAAGATATTTTACTTAGGAGGGAGACTTTCTGGTGACGGCGTTCTTCTTCAGGTCTTGAATCAGCAATATTATCGACGTTTATGAGAGATAAAGGAAATACAAGTTTTTGAAAAGCTGGATCAGTTGCCGACTCTTACAACTTTGACAGTTGTTTAAAGCAGGCTGCACTG